CTCATAACATCTGGCATATGTTACTCATAACATCTGGTATCAATTGAGCTTATGCAGAACGGTGAGAACTGAACTGGCAGAGCTCAAATTTTGACACGTGCCTCACCAAATAGAACAGGCCCGTTTGATTACAGCTTTCCCACCATAATTTGTAAGTTACCTTATATTGATTCAAGGCAGTCGGAGCTAAAGAATTTAGCATGACTTTAGTGATCAATTGTAACAATTCTCTTGTTTTGCTGACTACTGATAGCTTGCCGAAAACATGTATGGCCGGTCGTACTGCACCGGCTAGAGCGCTGAAAGGGAAAAAAGAAGGATGTCTGTCATAAATCCTAAATACACTGCGTTTCAAAAAAAAGTACCATTCTGAACGAGCATACTTACAATCAACTTACAAACAACTGGTTAAATTTTCAACAAAAACTGACAATATTTATTTACAAAAAAAAAAAATGTGTTGCATCACTGCCTATTCTAAAATACTCAGCAACTCTTCTAGACATGCTGGAAATCAGATGATCGATTGCATCTTGAGGTAACGTGTCCTAGGCTTTCCGCAAGTGTGGACATAATTCATCATGTCCCAGACATATTCGATTGGATTTGAATCAGGTGACCGTAGCGGTGAGAGCAAAAGATTGACATTATTTTCGATCAGGAAGTTTAAAGTAATGCTAGCGATATGAAGGCGGCCATTATCTTGTTGAAACACTATTTCTGGAAGGTCTTGTAGTAGCAGAAGGAGAATGGGTTCTAGCACCTCACTGACGTAACGACGGGCATTTAATGTGCCTGGAATAAAATGGATATCCAAAAGCCGCTGATAATGGTTATTCGATTTCCGTAGCGAAACATTTATTAAACGCCTGGTTTGTTAATGAGTTATCCATTATCAAATGTGCTGAGCCACAATTACAACAAAAGAATATTTACTACGCGTTCTGTTTTATCGAGACTTTCTTAATTATGTTACTTATAATGCAGATATTGATCAAAACATTGTAGCCCATAAAGGCTGCTCTGGGGTCTAAGTAGTTTATGTATTTAGGTTCATAGTATTTGTATAGGGACCTTGACTGTGATATGTTGCTCTCGAATTCTCTAAGGGACACCCGAAAAGATTTCCAGAGAAAAAAATCATCTATCCTAATGGAATTAACAGCACTAGGTATAAGGTTCATCCAATCAGGTTGGAATGATTTCTTCGTTTTGAAGATTTTTCGGTACGATCACGCATTTACCAAAGAAATGTGACTGACACCTAATAAAGACTTAGTAAATTTGCCTGCAAGTAGATGTGTTGTGTGCGTGTACACATACAATGCAGTAATGACAAATTGGTGGCAATAGGAGGTTATATTGTTGTTCAGAGGATGTGATCACTTTAAAAATATGTTCGTGGAAACGAGTACGTTGCACTACTACCTAGTTAGTTAATAAAGAGTGTTCGGTTAAGAAAACGTTAGCATAATTAAAATTTGACTTGGAAATACAGAAACGTATAGATTCTTTTATCGTATGCATTTATAGTGAATCAGTGAAGAAAATTGAATATAATACAATTATTATGGATTCTTCCTTCACGCCTAACAGTGTAAAAGACATGAATGTTGAACGACAAAAGTTTCCTCAGGTAGGAAAACACATATAATAAATACATGTTTATGGGTCGGAAAATTTTATTATAGGTGGGTACCACAAAACCTGGCTGATATTGAAAAATGCATGAGTGTCCAAATAATCAGTTGTTTATTTGACAATGTGCTGAGTGACGAGAGTTACATGTACCAAGATAGCTTAGAGACAATACTGATTGACCTTATAGTTATTTTTTATGGAGTTAAAAGTATTATCAAATATTGGTGCTAAAATAGTTTGTTTTTCAAGATTGAAAAACTATTATATATATATATATATATAGAGAGAGAGAGAGAGATTTTGTAAATGATTCTAAGGATGTAGTTGGCCATGGATTTCAAAATTTCCGCTTCGCTGAAATTATAAAACTTAAAGTCATCGTTTTTATTGTTTTAATCTTTTTCAAGTGTGAATTACAGTAGTTCTCGTTGATCCAAGCTCAAAACAACAAAACGGTCGTTTCAAAAGTTTTGTTTTTGTACCAGGAAGCGAAGACCGTGAAAATGGTTTATTCTGTTGAACAAGACACTTTCATTGTTGTTTTATTATCGCAATGGAAATTCGTAAATGAAGCGTGAGTGCATTCTGTAACCGCTTGTAAGCAAGAACATCTGGCCAAATCCCGTGATTTGATAATTCAAGAAACATCATTAGAGGCTCACATTAGAGATATAATCAACAGATTTGTTCGAACTGGCAGTATCGACAAAGGAAAATTTCCTGGAAGACCTTCAGTATCTGAGGAAATTGTTGATGATTTGAGACGACTTGAGCAGAACCCGCAAGCATCTTTGACAAGATTTTCTCAGGAATAAGAATTTCCTGTTGCAATATGGAATTGAACAATTATTGAGGAAAGGGTGTTACGAAATATTTTTGAAATTAAAAACAGAGTGAACATGTGGTTTGAATAAAATGGTGAACATTTTCAACATTTACTGTGATGTTTAACCACAATAAATGTCTTTCTTTTTATTGTAATGAATTAGTTTTATTTTTTAATAAAATATGAAACATTTAGTCAACTAGTTATAGAGATGCGTGTGGTACGAGGTATAAGCGCCAAATATTCTCGGCCTAACCAAGAAAGAGACATGACCCAAAAAAATTAAATATTTATATTTCAGCATAATCTCTGTTAACTTCAATATATTTAAAACTACGGTTAACTAACAGGATAATCCCTTTAAAAAAATAATTTTAATTTTTATCACTAAAATGATGTAGTATTGCCGATTGCACCTCGAAGCTAAGTCAGTACTGTAGTGTGGGTGATCAAGTTACTCGAAGTCACAGGCTCCTATAGCAGTTTGAGTAAGACATGCGGTATGAACGGGCACATTGTCATGAAGCAATCGAACGCCTCTTGTTAATTTTCTCGGCCGTTTTTCCCAAATACGTTGTCAGTGGTATTTCGTTCTTTAAATTCAATTAACAACATGCCTTCACAGTCCCAAAAAATTGTGGCCATGATTTTTTTGAAAGATTGGTTCGTCTTCAAGGGTTTTTTACCCCATACGAAACAATTGTGATCATTTTTTTTAGTACAATATGAAGGACAATCTTCAGCAAACACAAAAACCATCCTGTCCTTAATATCCTCTGGAGCAATTCCTTCTTTTGCTAAGAATTTTATTATCGCTCGATGTTGAATTTCAAACAGGTATGATGAGTCCATAATTTTTTAAACTTTATTCCTCAAATGTGTCGAAACTAATGGGTAGTGGGGGTTGAAGTTTTACACACATGCTACGGGTACCCCTCTTGTCTTTTATGAGTTGTACAAATTTCTCGACGAACAATCGCAAATTTATCAGGCCGAGAATATTTGGTGCTTACCTCGTATTTGTCGTGAGTTTTTGGGCATTTAATAAAGTCCATATAAAGTGAAAGGCGACACGTTTCTATGTCCTACTTCGACCCTATAATCATTTATAGAAACCCTGTACTTCCACATATCTGTCTACAATTTTCGGAAACTCGTGGAAACACGACGGGAGTCGGATATTTTGAGGAATTTTCTGCGCTACAACAGTTCATCGTCACAAATGTTTGGATGCTCGTTCTAGCTCCAACTTTGTCGTGACTATTTATGTTTTCTATTATAAAAAAATAATCAAATACTTAGTTTTGGTAGCTCGGAAGAAGATATAAATGTGTTTTAGCAGAATATCCCAGACTTGCTTCAAGCAGTTTAGTGTACGGTGTTTCTACGGTTGCTTAAAAGGTATTGCAGAGCTAGTTTTTTAATGTTGGAGTCACGTTTTTAGAACTAGCTTGGAACTACAATTAGTATTGAAAAATCTTTCTCCGCGTAAATATAATACAGTGGCTCCCGATCAAGCAGAGCAGCCTGCTTTTCTCCAACAGATGGTTTGTTATGTTAATAAAACAGTATGATTGGGAATTATTAAATTCAGCCATACGATCGGCAGTTGATGCCACAGGCATCAATTTACGTTCAGGAGACAAATAAAGGGAGTTTTGAATTCGGAATATTAAAATTCAATTTTGTTTTATTTTAAAATAAATGATTTTTAAAGCCATTATTGAGTATTATTAATAAAGAAAGGCGGCCGAGGAACATCTCTTCTCTGCACTCACTCGGCGCTCAACCCGAGTTTACTCGAATGAGCGTTTCAGCCCGAAGCCTGACGAATTAGACATTATTCAGTCATCAACGTTCCTGATTCCAGACGATGCAGAAGAGAAGAAGAGAAAATTTGTGGGTTTTATAAAATTTTAGTGGTCGTTTTCATAATGAAATGTCGGATTAAAGAAAGTTCTGACAAATGATCGTAGGAAAATTATGATTTATAGCTTCCATGGAAAATCCTTCTCCATTGTATGCATTACGGCATTGCATTGAGCACATAACTTAACTTGCTGAAACTTTTATCAGTATACGCTCTCTTCTAATGTCATAGCCACTTGAAGCACTGTCTTCCACCTATCACTTTTAGAAATTCCAGACAGTTTTGTTTTCCAAAAAACACATTTCAAACTACGTTTCAGGAACTGCGCTGTCTAAAGCAAGTAATCACAGTCAAGCCGTCCTACCCATCTTGCCGCCTTGTCATTAAGCTTATCATCCAGGAGCTTAAGATCGCGAGAGACTTCGCTCCCTCCAGAAGCCATAACCTTCGTTTTTGTCAGATTACGTGCAAAAAACATGTCGTTCGTAGCTTTTATCACTGATACCGAATCAAATATCCCATTTATGTGTACAACAAGTGTATACATGTCGCGCTGTGACAACGGCGTTCGATGTATCAGCATTGCGCGCGCATTTTAGCCCGGCCACCGTCTACCTACTTGTTACACCGGAGTCTTGTCTGCCTGCTCCGGGCCGTTGGCGGGTCTCGCTCCGGGAGCTTAAAGAAAGTTCGTTTACACGGCTCCAGTTGTGATATGTGCGTGATTGCGTCGTGCTGTGACTCTCTACACTGCAGCTTTTGCTGCCACAGGTTGCTGTTACAGTTGGCTCCAGAAACTGTTGTCTCAGGTACAAGACTTCTTTTTTGAATTTCGATGCTAGCGGCGCTCGCGACTAGTTGAGCGCTTTCTGCAGCTTTTACAGCTTTCATGAGATTCATCTAAGCGGTATGAATGTTTCCTGGAAGACCGGTTATTTTAAATGCCAGTGTAAATCTGATTTACACAAAATAAAATATTATATGGTGGTATATATTAACAAAAAAAAAAACTTACTGATCGATAGTCTGCAAGTGAAGTATCGAAGTTTTCGATGTTTGAGATTGAACAATTCATTAAAAACAAGCAATGAATCAAAAATTTATTGATAATTATCAACAAAGAACGCTACAGGTGTTTTTATATTAAAATTGTATTGCGCTGGACTTTAGTTTGTGCGTAAATTACGAATTAAAAATTGAAATATCGTTTCCAGAGATTTTTTTAAAGTGTAGGGCTGGGTTTCAAAATAATGAACTCTATAAAACAAAGACAAGTCACGTTCGAGATATGTGTTTTAATTTTGTTCAAGCGTTTAGCATTTAATGACTTATTTTATCTGTAAACAAGGTGAAATATATGCTCTTCGCTTATAATTATGGGAGTTGTTTGTTTGCATCGTTTCGTTATTATTTCGCAATGTGGTTTAAACAAAAATTAATCTTCTACATATATATTATTTTTATTTTTTTGAACAGCAAATATTGTTGCCAAAAAATTTACATTTCTGGTCGAATTTTGGAATTCCGAATTCTTTCCCAAGTGTAATTTTTAACATTTGCTTATCTGTGATAACAATAATAATAATTAATAAGATTTTTTTTGTTTTCCGTTACATTTTCTAGATAGCCTTTTGCTACATTAGTACTTCTCCGTCATCAACATACTCTTGAATTTAGTAATCCATTCTTTTCTTCCATCCCCTGGGGAAGTTGCTAAAGATCGTGGAAAAGTGTGACCTGTGTGTTTTTTGCACTTAGTAATCTAAGTTAGAAAAATATAATTAAAAATTGGGCTGACTATAGTTATGAAAATGAGAGAGTTATGTACGACTAGCATTAGCTAAGCAACCCCAGCATAATAATTCCACATTATCCCTTTTCGCCCAAATACTATAAAGTTTACCCTAGTTCCCATTCTTGCACATTCCAGCAACTTAGGTACGATGGATCAACTTAAATGGATTTTATTTTCTTGCCTGGACTTTAAACAGCTTTTATTTTTTTTTCATTTTGACTTCCTTCCATCATTTTTAAGAGACTTTAGTTAAATCTTGTTTAAAATTTATGCATTTTCAATTCTGCCACCATGGATACTTTCACTGGGAAATTTATAAATGAGAATTATGAACATGGTCAATTTTAATTAATGTTTCTTTGTATTAGTAAAAGTTTGCACCTGCTACAGTAAAATATGCAGACGTACATTACATTAAAATAATAAGATATTTCAATTTTTATTAAAGTAAATTAGCACATTAAGAAATTCATGAAAGCTCCAAGAATAAAAAATATTTAATAGCTTTAGATAATGTAGGAGCTAACTAAAAATTCGAGTTGGTATATGAAAAACGTAAAAGCATGTGATGCTAGTCTGTAACACCCATCCGTCAAAATTTATCCTATTGACATTTCCAATTTTATAAACGAATCTCAAAGTCGGACGTAACGTATGGTGTTATATTTTTTCTAATTTAAATGAGAGAATAAGCAATATATTGTGATGGAAATTTTAATATAACGTTTTCTCGAAAAACCCATTCAACATCTTTTTTGTAATTGATCCGATCATTATTTGTAGGACACGTCTCTGAATTTTAAATATTCCTTTGGTGTAACTAATGCCACCCCAAGCCAATAATCCTCAAGCTAAAACGCTTTGAAATAGGGAAACGTATTCAATTTGCACAATATCGTCTTCGACCAGATTTTTCAGATTACGGAAAAGATAAGTATTAGTGTTTTAGATATGCAGACTTCATGATTTTTTTATCTCATTTGTGACTTATGAATCAACATTACTTTAAATATTTTAACATCATTTTAATTCAGTAATAATAATTATATTTATGTTGTTTATCTTATATAAAAATAGCGGATAGTCAGGTGTTGAATTTTGTACTACCCAGTTTCAATGAAGCAATCTCATTGTTGTAAATTTGTCGCTTCTTGACGATATAAGTTTTCAATAAACATTTATACAAGTAATGAAACAACATAAAATGTCAGAGTAAATAAATATTTATGGAGTAATTTTTCAAAAAATTTCCCTCTCTGGCAATGCTTTGGATATTGTTAGCATCCAGAAATCAAGAAAATTATTTATTTGTTTAGTTAATGAAATTATAATTGGATCCCTTATGTATTTTATGATATTTACGTTAATTTCGTAACAATCGCAATTTTAATTAGATCGTAGCGCATTGTCAAGTCCCTGAGCTTCCAAAGCACACACTTTATTCTAATGTTGTGAATTATTAAAAGTTTCATCATTTACGATTAAGTGAGTTACGTTATTACTAAATTAATCTCATTGATTACCTTTTTCTGCTGAAATCAGGCTGCAAGAAATGAATTAATTGACAAGATTATTAGCATTATTGTTAAAAATTTTCTCATCCAGTAATTATAAATTGTCAAGTATTGATTTTGTGAATAAAAAGATCGTTATGTTTTTGTCGACGTTGCGCTAATTTTTATTATCGAAGTCTGTAAAAACGCTGAACATCATTTGTGGGACTGACGTCAAAAAAGTTGCGAGCGTTCTGTTACTGGATAAGTCAATATTAGCGGGTTCAGAAATATTGATGAATTGTCCAAGAATTTGTTATTTTCAGTATTATCGAAGATTATCAGTCAAATAAAGTGAAAAAAATTTATACAAGAAATAGGTAGTTTTGACTAACGTGGACATTTAAGCCATCAATGAAAATAACGTCATCAAGTTGGCGGTCGAAGAGCAAACCGTTTTTGACCGTACGTAATCATTTATCTCTAGTTATCAATACATTAGTTTTAGTTCTGTCAGTTCTTTTCTAAAAATCTAAAATATTAGCTTATTACTCTTTGTTGTTGAAACGTTAAATTTTAGAGATGATGTATTACTTTAGTATTTTTATTGTCAATAATACAACATTGTATCGAGAGAGCAAAAAAAAACACAATCAAATGCAGCTATAGATTTTTGAAGAAATATTTATGAAACAATTTTCCTTTTGACAGTTTACCGTCAATAATCAAAGTGTTTTTGTTGCTGTTTTAACTTAAAACATTGCTTTCCCGAAAATTGCATGGAAATAATATAATTATAATATAATGAAAACTACACCAAAATGAAATTTGTAAACATATAATTCTAAAAATCATTATCGACAGCTTTTCAGATGCAGAAGCTGTTAGTGCTTATTTTGTTGCATTTTAAAATCAGAGATCTGTTTAAGGTGCAGTAAAATGAACAACGCGGTTAAAACGGTGTGAAAGAAATATGTGTATCATAAAGTTAAAGTCTTGGTTTTGAAATCGTCAAAGACCTTTACCTGGAAACAGCGTGATAGATTTTTTACGAGGGTTTATGAATTATTATGGTTACATAAATATATGGATATTTTCGGCAAATTATTTGATTCCATATTATTTTACGCTTTCCTAATCTTGGGTAGAGTTTACAATTTTTTAACACGTTCCATTAAATATTACAAATTAAATAATGTTTATATGATTAGCTGACACCACAACCTCATATTGGACATTAAGTTCCATATGACAAATGTAATGCTGACGATGTGGCAGCAAATAGATTAATTTTTGGTAAATTAAATAAAAAATCTAGTTTGTAATCAAGAGATTGAAAACAGCGTGAAGTAAATTGTCTGAATATTTATTTTTTAGGTACGTTTCAATATTTTAATTTTACGAAATCGTCTAACGGGGTACACATTTGTTCAAGCAGCCGATAAAACAGGGTATACAGCAAGGATGACATAAATCAATAAGATCAAACATCTAAAATCTTTCAATTTCTACTCGCTCCAAATAGTTAACAAAACTGTTGTGAAGTTTTCTATATAGTGCGTTGTAATGACAACAATCACACTTGTTTCAATATTTCACCGTAGACAAGTTTTTAATTTAATTTCAAGTTCTCCAATTTTTTTATGCGAAATTTCAGTACTTTTATTCAACGATCTATTCTTTTTATTACAAAAGAATTTAATTTCTAGGCACAAGTATTTCCAACCTGCAAACTATTTCAAAACGATTCAGTTGTTGTAAAAAATTTAATTAAAACACTGGAGTTATTAAACCTGATATTACTTGCTCCCGACTGAGACATTTTGTCGCTTTGAAAATGAGATACAGGATTACTGCAAACATTACATTTAGCCCCGATTGGGTTAATTGAAATTTGTCCGTTACGTCCTTCATAAGGATTTAGCCATTATTTCTCTATATTGCTGATAAGTTCCACCCCACGTTCATTTCAGGTGGTTGTAAAAAATGCTGAAAATGAAATGCGTTTATACGGAACTTCTTGCATAATAACCGTGCTGTAAATTTTCATTAGGCCTGTGTTAATAACACACAATGTATTGCCTGCGTTTTAAAAATATTGTAACAGTTTATAGGCAGAAGAATGTTAGAATTATTAAACAGTAGGTCATTACTTTGAGATTAAACGATATTATTTTTCTGTTATTAAAAATTCACAGATGTGGTTTCACTAGTGTTTAGCGATAAAATCGATTGGATTGCTTCATTTGAGTGCGAACTAAGTTTTTCCTTTAAGTAAACGTGGTTGTTTTTGGAGAATGAATTTTTAACAACAGTGTGGGGTAAAAATGTTAAAAAATCACACACACACATTTTATTATTGGACGTTAATAATTAATGGTTATTGATTTGTAAGAAGTTATAAAATATTAATAAAAATCGTCAATATAATGTATGTCCAGTGAACTTTAAAAATGTCAGTTTCATTGTTATATTTCACATTTTGCCTCCAGCTGGTATATCGATATATTTATTATGAGTT